AGGGCACAGTCCTGTCTCCGTTTCTGTTTACCATCTACCCCTCAGACACACAGCCCACAATCGCCGAGTCATCGGAGAACTTCTGGAGGTGACAGCTGTCCGTGTTGTAGGTGAAGTCTGAGGTGTAGATGGTAAACAGAAACGGAGACAGGACTGTGCCCTGGGGGGCCCCTGTACTGCAGAGTACCACCTCTGACTGGCAGCCATGCAGCCGCACATGCTGAGGACGGTCAGTGAGGTAGTCAATGGTCCAGTCAACCAGATGTTTGTCCACAACAGCGTCCTCCAGCTTCCCCCTCAGCAGCACCGGTCTGATGGTGTTGAAAGCGCTTGAGAAGTCAAAGAACATGACTCTCACAGCGCTCCCGGTGGTCTCCAGGTGGGGGAGCGCTCGCTGCAGCAGGTAGATGATGTTACTCCATCTACTCCGATGTTGGGCCGGTAGGCAAACTGCAGCGGGTCCAGGGTGGTGCTCACCGCGGTGCGAAGGTGGGCGAGGACGAGGCGCTCCATGGTCTTCATCAGGTGAGAGGTCAGGGCGACTGGTCTGAAGTGGGCCGGTTCCCTGGCATGTGGCGTTTTGGGAACCGGTACCAAACACAGGAGGTCTTCCACAGGGTGGGGACCACCCCCAGGCTGAGGCTCAGGTTGTAGATGTAGCTGAGGACCTGACAGAGCTCATCTGCACAGGTCAAGAGGTGTTGCTCCGCCCACTGAGGTGGTGAGGGGCGTGGCTCCGCCCTCTAAGCGCTGCTTCCTGTTCCAGGTGAGCCGCTTCAGCCCTTACAGGTGGAAGGGGGAGGAGTCCGACGATGTCGAGGAGGCCCCGCCCACTTCCTCAGAACACCCCCTAGGTATGTCAGATAGTGGGACTAAACCCACTCGCTGGGATCATTTTCATCATCTTCATCCGGGTATTCCTGGACCTTTGTGTATATGAATTCCCGGACCTTTGTGTAGATGAATTCCCGGACCTTTGCGTATATGAATTCCCGGACCTTTGTGTAGATGAATTCCTGGACCTTTGTGTAGATGAATTCCTGGACCTTTGTGTAGATGAATTCCCGGACCTTTGCGTATATGAATTCCCGGACCTTTGTGTAGATGAATTCCCGGACCTTTGTGATTAAGAAATCTTCGACCTTTCTGAATATGAATTTCATCACCTCCATAATTATGAATACCATGATGCTCGTTATGATTTCCACTGTGTCCACCGTCCCTCATCTCTCCGGTTACTAAACCCTTTTAATACCACTAAATTTATCAGGGAATTGGGTTTCAGACTAAACTCTGACAAATAATTCTGACCCAACTTTGACAAATAATTCAGGTTTCGGACCCAACTCTGACAAATAATTCTGAACCAACTCTGACATATTATTGTAGTTTCGGACCCAACTCAGACAACTAATTCTGACCAGCTCTGAGAAATGATTTTAGTTTCGGACCCAACTCTGACAAATAATTCTGAACCAACTCTGACAAATAATTCAGGTTTCTGGGGTCCAACTCAGACAGGTTTTTTTTTTGGGGGGGGGGGGGGATCCACGCAGACAGAGCGAGAGGAGACATTCAAACATACAAAAAACCCGGGTGCCCTGGGACTCGAACCCAGAACCCTCTGTCTGAGAGGCGACCGTGTTAACCACTACACCACCCTGCTGACAGGTTGAGCGGGAAAAACTCCGGGGACTTTTAACCTTTCATGACCAGGAATTTCTTGCTTGTTTCGGGTCAGAACAGTTGTGCCTTTACATCGTACACCCGATGTGAGCTTCTGGATATTGGCTCTTGAATTTCAGACAGTTTTATGGACAACTTTCGACTCTTTGAGACCGCCAGGACACCCGAGGCTGCGCACTCTGCCCGGCCGGGCGGAAGTGCTCGCAGGCGGCGTCGGGATGGTAAACAAAGGCGGGGAGCTAGGCTAAAGCTAACACCACACCGGCTCTCTTAACCCAGCAGTTTCCTTGCCAATGTACGGTCGCTGCTGGACAAAATGGAGGAGATACGAGATATGAGTTTCTCATAATTTAATGTAATTTAATCTATCCAAAGACAGACTGTTGGTCCGTTGCTAGGATACGTCAGCGGGTCCGCCATCTTGGATGTGGCAGGACTGCCCGTTAACTAATAAAAGAAAACGGACTGAACTCCATAAAGCGTCTTTCTACAACGAGCTTTAAATGAATGCATCTTATTCACTCATTCACACACACATCTTGGAAGCAAATAGGCAAAAAAAACGTCTGTAATTTTTAAAATGATGATTATAAATGTTTCTTCCTGATGTTTAGGACATAAGGAAGCACCAAACCAGCGTCTGTACTTTAATGCTGAGTGTTTTCAGCTACTAAAGCCTGTAACACTGTTACTGTAATATAAATACTGAAATTTAACATGTAATGTGTCCATAATAACCACATCCACACAAGTGGATGTGACTGGAGGGTTTTCTGGATAAAGAGCACAAATATTTACATTTAACTGATTGTGATTCATTGTTTTTAAATTCATATTTATATAAATATATATATATATGTGTATATATACAGAGAGAGACTCAGTCTAGACATAGACATAGACAACTTTACTGTAATTTTGTGTGTACGGAGTGCACACAAAACAAAATTTCATTGCATACAGCTTAAGACAAGAACAGGATTCAATGATTTAGCAGTCTAATGGTAAAAGGGAAAAAGCTGTTGTATGGCCTGGTGGACCTGCAGCGGATGCTGCGGAACCTCTTCCCAGACAAGACAAGACCTTGGAGAGAATTTTATAGTCGGTGCATAAAAGGGCTACTGGCCTCCAGTTTTTTAAAAGGGTCAGATCTCCCTTCTTAGGACGCAGTGAAAGAACTGCACGCCTGCAGGATGCTGGAAGCGTCTCTTTTATAAAACACTCGTCCAAACAACGTCCAGAAGGTCCCATCCCAAGATGGTCCAGAAGTGTTTCAAAAAGTCAGATGCTAGACCATCTATTCCTGGAGCCTTGCCAGATGCCATCGCTGCAGACAGTTCATCAAAGGTTATATCCATACCCAGAGCCTCCCCATCTCCTGGACTCAGCTGAGGAAGTCCCTGATGAAGCCCCTCAGCAGCAGCCACATCACAGCCGTCCACCCTGAACAAGTCTGTATAAAAGTCGACTGCATGCCTCCTCATCTCTGCCGGGTCTGCGGTTACCTTCCCATCAGGGAGGCGGAGACACGCCATCTGTTTTTTTTACGCTACCGACTTCTCCAGGTTAATTAAGAAGGTGATTGGTGCATCAATGTCCTGCAGCCTGGTGAAGCGTGCTAGGACTAGAGCCCCTTTGGCTCTCTCCTGAAGGAAAGAACTCAGCTCCTGTTTTTCTTATCTCAGTAAATCATTTTGCAGATCTCCATGTAGGGCATTTTCCAGGTCTCTTATTTGGCCCTCTAGCTCCTGCACTGTTTTCTTTATCCCCGTTGTGACCCTTGTTGTGTAATCCTGGTAAAACACCCTAGTCTGGGCTTTCTTTACCTCCCACCACTGAGTCAATGGGGGAGAGGGAGGGTACCCCCTGGACAGTCCATCGCAGGGCCACACACAAGACACACGAGGACAAACAGCCACGCACACTCACAATCACTCCTAAGGTCCATTTAGAATGTCCAATCAACCTAACATGCAGGTTTTTGGACTGTGGGAGGAAACCGGAGAGAACCCACATAGACACAGGGAGAACATACAAATGGGGAGAGGCGGGGTCGCCCTGGACGGCAGCATCACAAACATCATTGATTAATTCATTCAGTGCTTCAGACACCAAAGCCAGAGTCTCATTATAACCACGCTGTACGTTTTACATGTATTGTCCACTTGATGGCACAATAGAGCAAATGAAGCACCATGAAGCTTCAACACACGAGTGAACCAATTGGATAGAACGCTTCAATGCTTTATGAAGCTTCATTTTGCCATAACTGCTATTTGGAAAATGCCACATTTTTAGCAACTATGTGGTTCGTCGCAATTGTTTTTCATGTATTCCATGGAGTTCTGGTGCTAGCTGAATGTTCCTGTGCCACATCCCAAGGCCATCCCTATTGAAACGGTTTTGTTATGTTATTGGACTCAATACCGCCTGTTCAGTCTTCCTGTTTACTCTGAATTAAGTTGGTTTAATGCTACTTGATGTCCAACTTGGTTTTTGATGCCTGATGTTGTCCAGATATGAATGTTTCTTCTTCTTCTCTTTTTTTTTAATGGCGGTTGGACAACAACTTTTAAGTGCATTACCGCCACCTTCCAGATTGGAGTATGGATTCGACAATCTATTAAATTCTTCCTAACACACCCGTTCTTAAAAAAACGAAAACACTCCCAAAGACCACATCCTCAGACGACCTCTGAAACAAATGCCCAATATCCAATTTTATTTTATTCCTGCCTAACTCCTTACATAACCTCTCTCTTTCTTGAGTATGTTTACTACATTCCAAAAAAACATGCTGGACTGTTTCTAATTTCCCAAAATTACAACACCCCGTACTATGTTTATTCATTATTTTACGATTACTATTTAACCCTGTGTGTCCAAATCTTATCCTAGATATAATATCTTTTTCTTCTTTAATTCTATTACATTTTCTTATAATAAAACCTAGCATTCCTTCCTTTATCCCACTGTTCCTGCCATATCTTCTTGAAATACAATTTAATAATATTCTTTACCTCATTTTTACTTATTTTAATATTTAAATCAACAAGACCCTTTTTTACTGCACTCTTCGCAAAACTATCAGCCAACTAATTTCCAATAACGCCAATGTGAGCAGGAATCCAAACTAATTTAACATTAGAACCCCCATTACTAATCCTAAAAATTGAGTGCAAAACATCCACTACTATATCTTGTCTTCATTCTGAATTAAATTCTAGAATACTTATTAATGCACTACTGGAATCTGAACAAATCAAAACCTCCCTCTCTCTTGTTTCCTCAATCCATTCTAAAGCCATTAAGATTGCCATTAATTCAACTGTATACACGGCCACTTTATCTTTTATTCTTTTATTCCTCATAATATTTAAATCTGGAATTACAAATGCTATACCTACTTTATCATTTA